CCCCCCTGCCATCTGCACCCAGCCTGGCAATGACAAAGCCACTGTTGGAAGTCCCTCAGTCTCCCCTGTGGGAATGAGGGGGTGCTGCAGGCCTCAGTCCTGCCCCTCCTCCTTCTTCCTTATTCCATCTCTCTCCCAACTGCTCCACAACATCCTAGAATGTAAAAAAATAATATTAATAAAATAAAATGGCAATTTAAAAAAAAGTTTACTAACCTTTCTGCAGATGACAACTCTAACATTTACAGATGCTCTGTGAGATATATATACCACAGATAACAGATCTTTAAAATTAATAACAGGATCTATAGTGCGGAAAAAACAAAAAGTTAAAATTAAATTCCAGAGATAACCAAAGAAAGAACTATGGGTATTACACAGGTTCAGTATCCCTTATCTGAAATGGTTTGGACCAAAAGGATTTTGGAATATTTGCATGCACATAATGAGATATTTTGGGGATGAGTAAGTCTAAACATGAAATTCATTTATGTTTCATATATACCTTACACATAGCCTGAAGGTAATTTTATACAATCTTTTAAATAACATTGTGCATGAAACAAATGAGGTCAGGTGTGGAATTTTCCATGTGTAGCCTCATGTTGGCACTTAGAAAGTTTTGGATGTTGGAGCATTTCAGAGTTTGGATTTTCATATTAGGGATGTTCAACCTGTACTTGTAGAAATGTTGAAAAAAACTGTTTTGTTTTAAAATAAAAAATACAAATATGTTCAAATTAAAAAAAATAAGTTTAGAATGTTTGACATCCTCCTGAAGCAACCCTAAATAAGTGCTCATTTCTTTTGACTGCCTGAACATACTGTGCATTCTGCATGGTTCTTACACATTACTTATCTTTTCATGCACATGCCTTGTTTTATCAATGAGACTGTAAACCACTCAAGACAAAGGACCTTATCTTATACCCCAAAACTCCCAGCATCTGGCACAAATTGTACAGTTTGTAGTAAGTACTGGAAAAAAAAAAAAAGAAATAAAAAAGAATATCTGAAATTAGTTTTAATTTTGCCTTTAAGAATTTAAGCTCTTTAAAGAAAAAGAATCATTTGTACATATTTTCTCTCACGTCCTTTTCTTTTTATGTAGACTCAGTTATTAACTTAATCACTCAGTACATAAACATTTACTGAGTAAGGCACTGTGCTATACCCCAGGCAGACAAAAAAACGAAAAGTACATAAGACAACACCCCTCAAAAGCCCTGTTAAACCAAATAACAGGTAGTTTAAAAAGCAACGTGAGAAAGAAGGGGAAAAAAACTTCCTAGAGAAAACATTTTTTTTTCCCCTTTTTGTCTTTTTTCATGACCGGCAACAGATCGCAACCCTCAGTGTCGCACCCGTACCGGCCCGGGACCGGCAACGGGATCGCAACCCTCCGTGTTGCTCCCTGCACCTTGCTCAGCCAGTGAGCGGGAACCGGTCTGTATGTGGGATCCGAACCCTCGGCGGGAGCGCCGCCACGCTTCCCAAGTGGCGCACTGTAGCAGTACGCCACCGGGCCGGCCCGAGAAAACATTTCTTAAATGTATAAATGTATTAGTACTATCAGCTGTAATCATACCTGTATTTATAATTTGATTGGTGAGGTTTTCAATGAGAGAAGTATTAACAGGTGCTTCATTTAGAAGGAGTCCCAATCCTGAGTAGCCAACTTCCCTGAGTCGAATACGTTGTTTATTACGTTCGTAAACGTTGGTACATTTCAACATTTGTTCCATAACCTGGTCATGACAAGTAATATATTCTTCTCAGTACAGACAACTAAGAACAGTATGACACTTAGGTTAATACTGAATAAAATATTATTGTATATTGCTTTTGGAGCATCATTTAATTCTGTAAGTATTAAAAAAAAACCCCAGCACTAATAGGAAGGAGCACTCCATATTACACTATCAAAAAATGGATTAAAGAATAAATTAGACTAAAGTGCATCTGAATCTGAGTAATTAATATGTTTAAAACTCAGTTTAAATATGACAAACGGAAGAGAAATAATTTAAGTTTTTCTTTCTTAATATACAAGGCTACAAACCATGTAGCTTCCAAGAGGAACAAAAGTGTGTTAAGACCCCTCTGGATCAATCTAGTAATCCATTTATGTAACTGTTATCAAAACAATATTCAAGGACAAGGAAACATTTCTGAAGCAACCCATCCATATGCTAAAACTGGGGACTGAATTAGTCACCCCTTGCTTCTTGAAGTGAGATCAACATTTTTCGAGCAAAATACTGGAACCTTATATGGGAACGGTAATCTTGGCAGGATAATATCATGAACAATCCCTGCAAGGTCATTTTTAAAGAAATAACATTTTGGTTTATTATTATTATTATTATTATATTTTTGTGTCTGGCTGGTACAGGGATAGAACTCTGGACCTTCATGTTATCAGCACCACGATCTAACAAACAGAGCTAACCAGCTCCATAAAGGAACCCTCGTGAGGGCAGATGCTTTAAAGAGCAGCCTCAAGCCGCCACCATAATCAAATAAAGAGAGAGACCATGCAAGACCTTTTTTACTGCACCATTGTTTTCCAGAGTTTAGGGATTAAAAAAAAAGGGAATCCAAACATACTTGGACTTTATATGTAACTCTAGCAATATAAGAACAAGAACTGTCACCAGCCAAATAGGCATAATAAACAGGAGAATACCTTGTGAAAACAAAACATATTTGGCAGTTGAAATATGACTGACTCCTCTACTTTTAGTTAACAAAAAGATGGAGTGGGTGCTTCAGCAAAAATTCAAAGTTTTGAGTATTTAGGATAGCTTAATAAAATATATTTTATATGCTTTGATAAGTTACTAATCTCTCTGGCCTCAGTTTCTTCATCTGTAAAATAGGGAAACTAATAATACCCACTTCATAAAGATGTTGCAAGTATTAAGGAAGTTAATATATGAGCAGAACCTAGTGCCTGACATACAGTGGGTGCTGCATAAGGTTAGCTATTATTATTCACTGTCGAAGTGTTCTGAATTGCCACATAGACCCACCATAAATCAAAAAGGAGATGAAAGGTTTTATACTGAGGATAATATGACAAAGCAGATATTCCACTGAGATGATTTATCAGGTTACAATACAATTAATTTTTTAAATGTGCAACCAACTAAAACATTAAAAATATATAAAAATAAACTGAATAACTTAAAATTAGAAATGAATATGAAAAAATAATTTACAGTCATAGAATGTATGTTGCAAGCAAATTCATATACCCACAAATGCCCCCAAATATCAAGATGCTTAAGAAATGTTTGTACCTTAAAAATGATTTCTCTTAGCCTGTCAGAGTACTTCTGATTTAAGAGCAAGGCATAAAGTATGTCAGCATTTCCTGGTTCAAACAGCAGTAAGAAAAGCTGACCTCTAGTTGGGCTGGTACGTAGGAGACTCAAGAGTACATCCAAAATTCCAAAGAGCTTTTAAAAATAAACAACACAATAAAAATAAACAAACAAATAAATAAATAAATAAAATTAAACAACACAAAACGAACTGTACACACTCATATATACAAGCACAAATAAAGTCATAAGCCACAAAACAGTTATTTAACTAAATCCTACATATGCTAATGTTTTAATTTAACTGCATTATCTGATGTCTTCTGAACCAGTCCTGCTTTTTCCCTCTGACATGCTTTTGACTTACTCTATTTCCTTCTGTATATCCTCTCACTAACCATATTCACTTAATGAAACCGTACCTACCCTGCTTTGTCTATATGAAAAGGCATCTCTTCCATAAAGCCTTTCCTGGTCTCCTCAACTTGTAAAACCCTCCTATGAAAAACCTCATAGAATTCTATCTCTCTTATAGACATTATCATACTCTTCTTGATTTCATAGTTATTTGTAAACCTCTCTTACTGACCCCTACCCTCATTAGGCTACAAGTAAGAATGCATCTAATATTATTCTGTGTATATAGTAAGTTCTCAAAAAATAACGCTTTGACTGAACTAAGAAAATATCTTTGGCAATGAATCTTAGACACAGCTATCATGAAATAAGATAGCTATTCATCATTCTAAATAAAGAGAAGCCTTTAAAGCAGTACAACCTAACAGGACAATAGCTTAAGTTAACTCATCTATATAATACCCATTATAAAGTCATGTTCCATCAAATCACAATGAATACTGCTTATAGAAGGCAAAATATTTTAGCCAAAATATATTAAAGCTGCTCAAATTTGTGGTATTCACAGCATTACACAGAAAGCACAGAAACAGCGGTAAATACACTCGGGTTCTTCTGTGTTTTATCAGCTGTGTGATGTTTTAAGTTAAGTCACCTAATCTCTCTGAACATGTATTTCCAAAAGTATAAATGGGAAGAGTAACTCCTAGTCCGAATACTTTATATCAGTGTTTCTCAAATTTTATCATGTGCACCAGAATCACGTGGAGGGCTTGATTCAATAGGTGAACCAGTAATATGTTTGCCTTTCTAACAAGTTCCTAGGTAAAGCTGGTCAGGAACCATACATTAGAACCATTTCCTTTAAAGAGTATTTCTGAGGATTAAAAGGGATAATGTGTATAAAAGTATTTTTTAAATAAACACATATTCACAATTTACTCTTTATGCAACATTTTTACGAACCTATATTATGTTAAAATTTATGTTAGAAATCTACCCAGTAACTTTGATGATAAGTAAATACACACCATTAAGACTATGAAAATAGGCTTCAGAAGTGCCAAAGAAACTATTTCTGTAGGGACCCCATGGGCACCTGAACAGGGACACACCCTAACAATATGGTGCCCTTCCGGGTTCTTCTCCACAGTAAACAAGCCTGTCGGTGCCAAAACCCAAGCCCATCCATGCCAAACCTCAGCCAGTCACAGGTCAAGGCTCACCTCCTGCCCAGCCCCGTCCAATCAGCTACCGCCCCGTCCACCCCCTATCCAACCCCGGAACGCAGCTCCCTATAAATGTACACGCAGTCCTTGAATAAAGCGGAACTTCTCTGGCGAACTGTCAGCTCGGGTCCTGTCGCCTTATCAGCTTGGGTCCGTCCGCCCTTTCATTGGTGCCGAAACCCAGGAAGAGTTCACCCGGCGCCAGGGGACTCCTTCCTCGGACCTCCTCGGACTCCTCCACGACCCCCCTGGGACTGACGGTCCGCCCTAGTCCATTTTCTCCGGCTCTGGCTTCCTTCACCCAACACCGGCTCATCCGTTAGGTAAGCCCCCTTTCCTTTTGTCAGGCTTGTAGATTATTTAAACCTTCACCCTAATCACATTCCCCCGGCCCCAGCTTTGACACGTCCCCGGCCCCGGAGGCTGAACCTCCCATTCCTCCCTCTCTCTTTCTCTCACTCCTTTTAACCTTCCTCTTTCCTGGGTTTATCCTTGAACCCATCTAACCTTCCTCCTACCGGGTCCAGGACCCGCCATCCGTAAAACCCTAGCGCGCTAGGTCCCTCCGGCTCCTCCGGCATTTTGCCTGAGGGTAGCAAGGGTCTAGGTGACAACCTACACCCCCTTCCCTCCTGGGTTCCTGGAACCCATCTCCTGAGAACGGCACGACTTATTGGGGACGCCCTCTGAGCTCTGTCCCTCTCATCCGGCTGGAGGGCTCATACTAATCCTCCTCCTTTTAAAACTTCTCTCTCTCTCTCTCTCTCTAATCCTCTTCAGAATGGGAGCTTCCGCCTCCTCCCTCTGGGGTGATTCACCCTTACAATGTCTCTTAAACAACCTTACCAACCTATCTCTCAAGCCTGACATTAAACCCACACTCCTCACTGAATTTTACACACAAAAATTGGCCTTATTATCCCTTAGATAACCAAAATAAGTGGCCCCTGAGGGCACACTTGATCCCAACATTCTCCGGGACCTTCTTAACTACTGCCGGTGCCTGAGAAAGTGAAAAGAGATTCCATATGTGGAGGCTTTCCGCCTGCTTGCCCAAAATCTCTCTCTCTGTCTCACCTGTTCTCCTTTCTAGGTTCTTCTTGCTTCCAAACCCCCTCCATCCTCACTGCCTCCACTACCCCCTCGGCACAGGTCTCCTTTTCCTGTAACTCCCTCTGCTTCCCAACCCCCCTCAGTTAACTCCGCTCCATCTGCCTCCTGCGCCCAGCCGGCCGCCGGTAAACAGCCTTGGTCTCCGGGGCAACCGCCATGGGGTGAAGGGCCCCCCCTAGTCAGCGTGTTCTCCCTCCTGCCTCTTCCTCCCCTGTTTCTTCCAGCCCTGCTTCGCCACCATTTCCTGTCCCCCAACCCCCACATGATCCACATTGGGATTACAACACGCCACAGGAAATTCAGGCCAGAGACCACTTTAGTTCCTGCCTCCTGGCCGGTCTCAAAAAGGGCTGCCCACAAAGTTGTTAATTTCCAAAGAGTCCAAAATGTTCTCAAAAGAAAAAAAACTAGAACCAGGCCTAATACTCCCCAAACTAAAATCTCCCTAGACTGAAATTTTATCAGTGGCCTTCAAGGTCTTTCATAATAGGGAGGAGGAAAAATACTTGGCCGACCTCCAAATGCTGGCCAAAGTAATTACTCAGCCTTCACAAGAAGCGAGCCCAGGGTAACTATTGTCGTGGATGGCCAACCCGTCTCCTTCCTCCTGAACACAGGAGCCACTTTCTCGGTCTTAAAGGAGTTTCAGGGCCTAACCACACTTAACATTTCCCCTATAGTCGGAGTAGGAAAAAACATATATACCCCCGCAGAACGCCTCCACTAACTTGCCATATTAAAGGCGTTCCTTCTCCTTTTTCCCACTCATTTCTGGTGATGCCTCAATGTCCTGTCCCTCTATTAAAAGAGATATTCTCACCCAGTTACATGTTTCCATCTCTATATCCCCATCCTCCTCCTCCGTAGCCTCATTCCTTTTAGCCCTCATTTCCAGCCTAGCGGAATACTTTAGAGCACAGATCCCAAATTACTTTTTATTGGCCTGCCCACTGTATGCCCTTACAAAAAGAGACGAAAATAAATCCCTATCATCTTAAATAGATAAGCCATTCCAAAAACCCCGCCAGGCCCTTGTCGTGGCCCCTGCTTTACACCTGCCTGACCTCACTAAACCCTTCTCCCTTTACGTACATGAAAGGGACAGACAAGCCTTGGGTGTGCTAGGACAAACATATGGCCCCTCCTTCACCCCAGTAATATACTTGTCCAAACAACTAGATCCTACTGTCCGGGGCTGGGCTCTCTGCCTTCATGCAGAGTCTGGGGAGGGAGCACCATGCCAGTGCCTGGGGCTGCAGCGGGCGGCCCAGGTGGGCTCCATGACTCTGGTCCTGAGCCCTTTACAGATGGGGAGACTGAAAACAGGACAAAACAACCCAAGAGGCTCCTCCAGGCCTGGTGAGCCCTGGCCTGCACGTGTGGATGACCCCGGGACGGGGCGGGGCCAGGCACCCAGCGCGCGCGGCCTGCTGGGACCTGTATACTAGCACAAGGCCTCCCAAGTTATTTCCTGGTTAGCTTTATTAGTTTCCAGGCCCAGCTGCCAAAGTGAGACTGGACAACGATGACTTGGTGAACATAACACACCTCGGGCAGGTATGACGGGACAGTGTGCTAGAAAAAGTGGGGGATGGGGTGGCCAACAACTCATTCACAAGCTGAGGTGTCCCAGGACCTTGGGATCCTTGCAGATGCCTGCCATGGGACACGGCTGCCTCCAAATCCCATGAGATGTGGCAAGCCCAGGCCAGTGCTGGGGGAGGAGTCCAGTCTCTGTAGCCCCAGTGCAGGTCTACCTTCACACCTTCATACCACAGTTCTCTGAATATCTTGGAAATCTGCCAGTCTGGCTGCCTTCCAAAAGGAGACATTTCCCAGGCATGGATAAGCCCCAGTCCTCACCTGTAGACCTCAGCAATGAGAGGACATGTACCTAGGAGACCCTCGTACACGTGGGTACTGTAGAGACCAGGTCCACTATTTTAGGAGTCTGACTTGAGCTCTGAACATTGCTGGGGGCAGGTTGGAAGGACAGTGAGGACTTACTCTCCTCTGAGATGCCCAAGGGTACCAAGAGAGCTGGAAAGAGACTGGCCTCTAGTAAAACCCCACCTGGGAAGGGGTCTGAAGCCCTGAGGGGGCTCCTCGGGGGTAAGGACCTGTCTCCACAACAGCAGCCACAACAGGGGCTAGCCATGACATGGGCCTGGCCACCCTCCTCCTGGCCATGACACTACTTCAGGTGGCCACACAGGTGGCCGGTGAGGGCTAAGTAGACGATGCCACTGCCCAGGTCATCCCTGAGGGGGCCTGTGACCTGTTCTGGGACAAACAGGGGCTTCTGCCTGTCCTCCCCCTTTACTGCTAGCTCCAGACTCTCCCACAACTCAAGGTAATTGCTTAGCGGACCAAACGACATGATTGGTCGCCACAGAGGGCCGTAACACCCCAGATGCTGCACTCCTTCCTCTCCTACCAGATACCACAGACAACCCTGCTCCAACACCAGATGATAAATCTTCTTTTTTCCAGCTTCTCCATAATTTATTCCACTCAAACCCTCGAAGTCTAACACTCTTTCTCCAAACTTTCTTTCCTTTAACTTCAACAGACAAAGCTCTTCTACAAAAATCTCTCACAATTGCTCCATCTGCCAACGTACCAACCCTAACACTCCCTTAAAAGCCAAACTGTATCCCTCACATCAAGCTAGGGGTAATGTCCTTGCCACAAACTGACAGATCGATTTCACCCACATGCCTCCTGTTAAACGTCAACAATATCTCCTAGTTATGGTGGATACCTTTTCCGGGTGGATAGAGGCCTTCCCCACCACTAACAAAAGGCCACTACTGTGGCTTCTATACTCCTCTCCCAAATTATCCCAAAATTTGGAATGCCCTCTTCCATACAAACGGACAACAGTCCAGAGTTCACTTCTCAAATAATACAAAATTTATCTCAGGCCCTCTCCCTCCCTTGGCACTTACACTGTCCTTACCGGCCCCAGGCCTCAGGAAAAGTTAAATGCGCCAACAGGGCTCTAAAAGACATCCTTACTGAACTATCTCTGGAACTTCACCTTGACTGGACCCACCTTTTACCCCTAGCCTTGTTCAGACTCAGGGTCCTCCCGAAGAAACCTTCAAACCTCTCCCCTTTCGAAATTATGTATGGGAGGGCCGGCCCGGTGGCGCACTGGAGAGTGCGCCGCTTGGGAGTACGGCGGCACTCCCACTGAGGGTTCGGATCCCATGTGGAGACCGGTTCCCGCTCACTGGCTGAGCACAGTGCGGGCGCAACACTTAGGGTTGCGATCCCGTTGCCGGTCAGTAAAAAAGACAAAAAGGAAAAAAAAAAAAAAGAAATTATGTATGGGAGGTCCCCTTTACCTCCAGGGATCATCCCTAAACAAAAAACCATACCCTCCAACCTAGCTATCCCGTTACTCTCCCATCTTTGAGCTAAACTCTAAAAACACCAAGATTGGCTATTGCCTAATCCTACCTCCTCCCAAAACACCTCCACAGTACACCCTGGGGATTTAGTATTCTACACCTCCCCAGAGCTACGAGGTCCTTTAACTCCTAAGTGGGAAGGCCCTTGCCTAGTCATTCTTTACACTCCCACAGCTGCCAAGCTTTCCCTACCAAACAACCAAGTAACTCCATGAATCCATATCTCTAGGTTAAAACCCTGCTTCCTGACCTCACCAATGGATCCCACAGAACCTACGCGTGACCTGCGAGTTCAGGACACACCCTTTCAAAACTAAAACTTTTACCTGCACTCTAACCCCCTCAAACTCCGTTTATCCCGACTCCCAAGTCTCCCTCCATTACAGGAACAATGACCGCTCCCGTTAACATTATCCCGTTTCTCTTACTGTGCCTAGTAGGTGTTTCTAAATCCCCGTACGTTTGGCAGTTCATGGTACAAGAAACTTATACAGAAAAACAAGGTAAGACCACCAAACTACTGCCTTCCACAGCAGACTGTTCTGTAGCTGGATGCCAAAGGGCCATTACCATCCCCCTTACAGGGAGTAAACTAACCTCTCAATCCCCCCGCCTATATATATGTTTTATCTTTAACCAGACTCAACCTTCTTGCCGCTGGTGGCCAGAAACTTATGGGAGATGCCTGTACTGGTCATACAAAATTCACAACCCACTTATAAATCCAGGGGGCCGGATACTTCAGCACGGCACACAGGACACGCTCCAACTTGCCATCAGTGACCCCTGGGACTCCAGGTGGGCTAAAGTAATTATTGGATCTTTCTACTGCAGTGCCTTGGTCAATTCTCGCCCTTGCAGACAATTTAAAATCACCCACACATATGTCCCCATAAAAGATCCTGTTTCATTATCTGCTGTACATACTCACATTTCTTAATAAAAAAAAAACCCTTTCCTCAGAGAAAAAACACCGCCAACCAGCTAAAACTGTTATCTTCCTTAACTAGACTTTCAACCAGCTTTTACTCAGGAACTACCAGCTCCTGGCCACCGAGGATCCTGCCTGCTCTCCACCAGACCAGCTAATCTGCTGTTAAAATGGACCTGCCTCATCGATGGTCCCTGTTCCTGAAAGTTTTGGCCGTGGATGCCTGGATGCTCTCCCCTACAGCCTCCTGCACACACTGGACTCAACAAATCACCGACCTGTGGCTTCAGGGAACCTTTCTAGAGTTCTCCCCCTTCAAAATTATCTTATTCTCTACCCTCTTTTGGGTCCTGTTACAAAATCCCCAATCTCCTCCTCCCAATTCCTCTTCCCCTACAACGCCCCTCTACAGCAGGAAGTAGTTCGATGATTTCGGCAACCCACTCCCCACAATAGAGGAAAAAGGGAGGAATGTAGGGACCCTGTGGGCACCTGAATAGGGACACACCCTAACAATATGGCGCCCTTCCGGGTTCTTCTCCACAGTAAACAAGCCTGTCGGTGCCAAAACCCAAGCCCACCCATGCCAAACCTCAGCCAGTCACAGGTCAAGGCTCACCTCCTGCCCAGCCCCGTCCAATCAGCTACCGCCCCGTCCACCCCCTATCCAACCCCGGAACGCAGCTCCCTATAAATGTACACGCAGTCCTTGAATAAAGCGGAACTTCTCTGGCAAACTGTCAGCTCGGGTCCTGTCGCCTTATCAGCTCAGGTCCGTCCGCCCTTTCAATTTCCACATGCTACATTTTCCAGCTAACTAAAAAATTAAATTACACTGCCATCTATTTTATTAAACTTTCAGTTAGAAGACAAAATTTACTTCTTGAACTGCACAATATTGTATGTGACACTACACTCATTTTACTCTTAAAATGTTTAATTATACAAATACGTAAGTTTATAAGAAGATGTTATAGCAACATAAATGTTAAAAGGAAAAAATAGATTTATCTCGGGCATAATACCTGTTCTTCTTCATTAGTAGCAGCTATGTAACCCATAATACTTTGTATCTCTTCATGAGTTCCACCTTTGCACAGAAAATATTTAATTAGTCCATACAAAGAAGTCCTTATTGTGCGAATATCATCTACAGATAGCTCATTATATTTACAACCACTCCTGAAAGAAGAAAACAAAGGTGCAAGAAATAAAATTTGAATTTTTACATTTTTATATTTTTTATGTAAAAGAATTCATAGTTTAAAAAAATCTTACCATGTAATTATTAGAATTCATAGTAACTTTGGCTTCTTTTAGAAAAATCTCATGAAGTGTTTCAGTGACAAAAATTAAAAATACTAAAACAGATTACATTTATACAATACTCACTATGTAGCAGGGCTTTAAACATTATTACTCATTTAATTTAATACTCAAAATCACCATGAGGTGATAGTTTTATTATCTCCTTTACACAGATGAGGAAATTCAAACACAGAGAACTTGCGTAATCTGCCTACAGCTAGCTGCACAATTAATGAAACCAAGTTTCAAAGCCAATATATGTGATCCATTGTTTATCATTTTAATCTCCACACTATCCTGCCTCTGTGAAGTTAAAGTATAGTAGAATTGTTGTAAAGAGAAAATCTACACGTTCCAATCAAGTAGCAGACAAAAAACAACATATCAAATAGAAGGAGCAAGGACACCATACCCATAATAAATCCTAAGTGTATCTAGGAGAAACTGTACGCCATACTTCTTTCGGAAAAATCTCCTGCTGTCTTTAATGATGGTCGAAAGATACTGTATATGACCTAAAATGTAAAGTTCACTCATAAATAATATATCTAAAATAAATTCGCATAGGTTGTTAGAAATGTCTAAAAAGACTATAAAATTTTATCTAACAGCCTGCTCTCACCAATTCGAAAGGGAAAATCTCCACGGTTCCAAATACGGAAGTCAAAAAGTAAATACTGATACATTTGTTGCAGAAGCTGCATATTTTTCTCTAATGATACCTGTTCAATTAGTAATTGAATTGCCATCAATACGTTAACATCCATCAAAGTGCTTGGCAGCTGAAATCAAGCAGAAGAGGGTTCCATACAGTTCAGTTTTAATAATTGTCATTAAGCTATCTTTTCAAATCTTTAATTCAGAACATTTACTAAATATAAAAATATAAAAATCTAGGTCAGAAAAATATAAACAAACTAAACACTAATTTTTCTGTTGTAAAACTAGAACATATTCTCCTAATGTCATATTCCTAAAACTGAGTCTTACGTTTCTCAAATATCCCAAATGCCAAAACTAATAAACAAAGTCATATACATCCAAAATTATACACTCTTACATAAAATAAGTAATTCTTGTATAAGATGATTCCATAAAAGCTTTTAAAGCTGCCTGTGAAACAAATTATATCCATTAATATAACTGAAACTGTAAGAAGGAAATCTTTAAAAATACATTTATTTAATAGGAAAAGAAAAACCCCAACACCAACTGCTAATTACAATCATCAGCTACAACAACACAATGTTAGACTGGCTCACCTTCTGAAGTAAAGCACCAAGAGTAGCAACTCCATGGGAGTGAACAAGATTGTCCTGGTTGACAGGATGTCTCTGAATAAAGTGTTTCACAATTAAGATAAATGTTGCAACCAGATTTCTCTCTAGTCTTGACTCTGTGGGATCCGGAACATGTCATTATCATAATAACTCTAATCACTTTTAAATCACATTTTCTATGTATTAATGCATATTGTAACAAAGAAGAAATCTGGTTCAGCAGTGTGCTTCCAAGGCTCACTCGTACAGCAGAATCAGAAAAAGCAGCAATTGCATATTGTATACTTAAATGCACATGTAAATACTTTCTCTACCACAAATTTAACAATGCGGTCATATTTCCACTAAGGTTATAAAGTAAGGATAGTCAAGAGTAAAACCAACATGTTTAGTTTTGGGACCAAGGTGTTATAAACTTTCTGAAATATATTACTGAAATTAGAGATAGCTGCTATAGCTAGAAATAATTTTCTTCCTAACTGTGGTAAGACACTTTATTTTTCAATTAAGTCTCAAAATTTTCAATGACGATTTTGTGTTAATTTCATCTTAATACCTGATGCCTTTGTGGAGGTCAAGAGCATCCAATCTCCTTCTACAGGTGTTATCAATTCAGGAACTGTGTTTTCATTTATTCCTTCATGAATCTGTCCTTCACTAGAGTGGCTGATTTGTTCCAATATAGGAAAGAGTACATTTAATCCACCTATGCAGTTTATGATATCCTGAAAAGAAAATTATAATTTTTTTATCTTATAAAACAAGGGCAATTTTGTCATTTAATATCCACAGAGCACGTATAAAGTTACAGTCTGCTAAATAAACCTTTAAGCAATGTATAGAACAGGTGAAGCTGAAGGAAGCATTTTACATGGGAAGATGCTTGCGTGGGAACAGCAGCCTCAAGTGTCACCATAATCAATACTCAGGAGAGAGTATGCAAGACCATTTTTATTTTTTTTTATTTTTTATTTTTTATTTTTTTTTGTCTTTTGTCTTTTTCCGTGTCCGGCAACGGATCGCAACCCTCAGTGTTGCCCCCGTACCGGACCGGGGACCAGCAATGGGATCGCAACCCTCGGTGTTGCTCCCGCGCCTCGCTCAGCCAGTGAGCGGGAACCGGTCTGTATGTGGGATCCGAACCCTCGGGTGGGAGCGCCCGCCGCGCTTCCCAAGCGGCGCACTTATCCAGTGCGCCACCAGGCCGGCCCGCAAGACCATTTTTACCACACCTTTGTTTTCCAAAGTTTAGGGATCAAAAACATAGGCAATCCAAACATACTTGGACTTTGTAATGTAATTCTAACGGTATAAGAACAAACAACTGTCATCAGCCAATTAGGCATAATAAACAGGAGAATACCTTGTGAAAACAAAATGTATTTGGCAGTTGAAATATGACTGATGACTCTACTTGTAGTTAACTAAACGATGGAGTGGGTGCTTCAGCAAAAATTCAGTGTTTTGAATATTTTGGATACCTATATAATACATTCTATATTCTTTGATAAATTTCTAATCTCTCTGGCTTCAGTTTCTTCATCTATAAAATGGGGATACTGATAATACCCACTTCATAAAGTTGTTACAAGGATTAAGTAAGCTAATACATCAAAAGTGCTTAGTGCCTGACATACAGTGGATGCTGTACAAGATTAGCTATTATTATTCACTGGTGAAATGTTCTCAACAGCCATGTGCACCCAACTTAAGTCTGTGAACAATCTCTTCATATTCTTAGCCTGTTTTTTTAAAAATAAAATTTACTGTGTATATTTGAGGATCAAAACATGATGTTATGGGTTACATAATACACAGTAAAATGGTTATGATAGTGAAGCAGATTAACATTCATTACCTCACAGTTACTTTTTTGTATGTTATAAGAGCAGCTAAAATCTACTAATTTAGCAAAAATCCCTAAAAAAATTTTTATTAACTATAGCCCTCATGTTGTACATTATTAGGTCTCTAGACTTTTCATCCTTCATATCTGCAACTTTGCTCTGCCTGTTTTTCATACTGATTTTTAAGAGCTCTTTGTATAGTAAGTAAATTAACTTTTTGATGACAAATATTTTTTCCCAGTTGTCATTTTATTTAATTTTCTTGTCTTTGATTTTGAGCAGTATAAAAATATAATTGTCTTTCTCTTGATAATTCTGTTCCTTGTTTATTTCCACATCAGGCAAAAATCTAACTAGTTAATCCACATAGCTGTAACTCAAGGCACCAAACACTGCTTTGATTTTCAGGTATGTATGGCACAAAAAATCAGGTTTCTATGTATAATATGGTAGTTCCCCCTTATCAAAGGTTTCACTTTCTGTGGCTTCAGGTACCTATGGGTCAACCATGGCCTGAAAAATATTAAATAAAAAATTTAATATTTAAAATTTAATAACCTGGAGGAAATGGATAAACTTCTGTATACATACAAAATACCAAGACTGAACCTCAAAGAAATAGAAAACCTTAACAAACCAATAGCAAGCAACGAGACTGAAGCAGTAATCATCAGCAGTCTCCCAACAAAGAAGAGCCCAGGACAGGATAGCTTTACTGTTGAATTCTACAAACCTTGAAAAAGGAATTAATACCAATTCTCTTCAAACTTTTCCAAATAATTCAGAGGCTACTCTCCCAAA